AACAGTACATCACCGGCTGCCGGGAACCAGGTCGGCGGTGGACGGAATTAGGCGAGGAGTGGGGGCTTAAGATCAATCATTACTGCGATTCACACTTACTTACTAAATTGTCTCGATCGTTCGTTCTCGAAAACAAACGTCAAAACGTAGTTTATGTGGCGTTTAGTTATTCCTTTTCCCATCCCGTCCGATTCTCTCCGCCGAAATCGTCGGAACTGGCCCCAGCCTGCTTTCGAACACCTCTGACTTATCGTGGCACATAAAGCAGACGGGCGGGGGTCAAACCGGGTCGCGGGTCACGCACCCTCCCCCTCCGCCACCCCCACGGAATGCGTGGCGACGCAGCCACGGGCCATCTCGTGTGAAATTTCCACCGCGAATAAATCAAGCCGATCTGAATGCGCCCTAAGCCGATCCGGGGCAGATGCCGGGAGGGAACGGCACCTAGGGGACGGCCGCACAACTACACATTTTGTTCAACCACCACGACAAAACGACAAAAGACACCTGGTGGCTACCGCGTGACGCTTAGCGATGTGTGTGGATTGTTAATTATCGTATAAGTTTTGGAGTTCCTCAGAGATCCGGTTAAGCTTGTACGCCTTCATTATTCACGCGTTTTGGCAACGATCTCGTCAGCGGCCATTTTATCCAGAACGTCATTTTTGCATTTGATTTTATTTGATTTTTAGTTTTTCTTAAAATCTATAACTAAATGTAGAGCTTCTAATAATAAACTTATCAATAATTATCTAAGATCTAGATCTAGTTATCACCCAAAAAAAAGTATTACGGAGTTTATTGAAAAGAAAGAGTCCCTAAAATAAAACAAAACACAAAACAATAAAAAAGAAATCTATTGGCTACTACGTGACGCTTTCTTAATTGCCGTAAGCTCTTTTGGAGTTCCTCAGAGATCCAAGGAAATGTTGTAAACCTTCATTATTCACTCGTTTTGCCAACGATTTGTCCACGACTATTTTATAGTCAGTCTATTAATTTTCCATCTACAGAAACCCAGAAATGAACAAAAAATAATCGAAAAATAGAGATGTCGGGAAATCGAAAGTTCGAAAAAACGAAACATCAAAAAACCGTAAAATCGAAAAATGAAGAAATCAAATTTCTAACATTTTAAAAACTGAAAAACTAAAAAACCAAAAAAACTAGAAATCAAGAAATCTAAAAATTTAAATATGAAAAATCAAAAAATTGAAGAACCGAAAAACTGAAAAATGGAGAAATTGAAAAATACTGAAACTGAAATGTCGAAAAATGGAACAATCGAAAAATTGGAAAATCGAAAAAGCGAGAAATCGAAATTGAAAGATCGAGAAATCAAGTAATCGAGAAGTCGAAAAATCGAAAAATTGAGAAATCGAAACACCAAATTCTGGATAAATCGAGAAATCGAAAACTTGAAAAACCGAAAAACTAAAAATTCGAAAAAATTAAAAATCGAAAAATTGCAAACTTGAAAAATCTAAAATCGAGAGGTCGAAAATCGAAAACTTGAGAATCCAAACATCAAAATAGTCAAAAACTCAAAATTTAAAAACTCGAAAAATTGACAAATAGAAAAAGGAAGAACTAAAAAATCGAGAAATCTAGGTACCCAAAATTTAAACTTGTAAAATAGAAAAATCTAAAATTTAAACAATCGAAAACAGAAAAAAGCAAAAAATCACAGTACCAAAAAGTTGAAAAATCTCAAAATTGAAAAATCTAAAAACTGATATATCAAAAACTTGGGAAGCTGAAAAGTTGAAAAATCGGGAAATCGAAAAATCGAAATCTCAAAAAATCGGTTAATCGTAAAATTGGGAAATCGAAAAATCGAAAATTTAGGAACGCCTAAAATTGAAAATCGAAATAGGAGAGTCGAGAAATCGAGAAATCGAAATATCGAAAACTTTAGAAGTCAAAAAATTGAAAAATCGAATTTAGAATGGAAAAGTCGAAAAATCGGGAAATCGAAAAGTTGAGAAATCGGGAAATCGAAAAGTCGAAAAATAGAAAGATCGATTAATCGTAAGACTGAGAAATCAAAAAATCGACAATTTGGAAACGTGAAAATTGAAAAATAAAATCGGAAATCGGAAAGTCGAAAAATCGAAAAACGGAATAATCGTAAAATCGATCAATCGGAAAATTGAAGAATCGAAAAACCCAAAAATTGAAGAACTTAAAAGGCGAAAAAAAAACTCGAAAAATCTAAAAGCGAGTAGTCGAAAAATCGAGAGATCCAGAAATCGAAACACTAAAAAAGTCAAAAATCTAATATTTCAGAATTTGAAAATTTAAAAAATGGGAAAAATGAAGAACCGAAAAATCGAGAGAACGAAATTTCAAAATTTTAAAAAATAGAAAAATCAAAAGATTAAAAATTTAAGAATCGAAAAATTGAAAAATCGAAATATCAAGACATCAAAAAATCTAAAAATTGTAACACTGAAAAAATTGAAAATATGTATTAAAAAATCCCAAAATTGAAAAATCCTAAAACTGAAACATCTAAAGTCGAAAAATTAAAAAATGGATTAATTGAGGAAACGAAAAACCAAAAATGTACAAATGCTAAAAATTGAAAAATTGACAAAAATCGTAAAATTTAAAAATCAAAAAATTTCAAACTCGAAAAATCTATAGACGAGAAGTCAAAAAATCGAAACACTAAAAAAGTGAAAAATCTAAAATTTAAAAATTTTAAAAATAGGAAAACGATGAAATGAAAAATCGAGAAATCTAAATATCTAAGTTTAAAAAATTGAGACATTAAAGATAGAAAAATTGAATCGAAAAATTGAGAAATCAAGACATCAAAAAAATTTAAAAAATCGAAGAATTTTGAAAAATCAAAAAATTCATATATCGGAATACTGAAAAATCCAAAAATTAAAAAACCCCAAAACTGAAACTGTGAAAAATTGAGAAATCGAAAAACAGAAATCGAAGAATTGATAAATCAAAATCGGAAACTGGAAAGTTCAAAAATCGAAAATTTAGAAACGCCAAAAATTGAAAAATGGAAATCGGAAATCGGAAAGTTGAAAAATCGAGAAATCGAAAAGTCTAAAATTAAAAAAATGGATAATAATAATAATAATAATAATATTAAGTAATCGTAAAATCGAGAAATCCAAAAATCAAAAAATTTGGAAGTCGAAAAATTGAAAACTCAAAAAATCTAGAAGCAAGCGGGAAGTTGAAAAATCGAAAGATTGAGAAATCGAAACATTAAAAAAGTGAAAAATCTAATACTTAAAAATTTGAAAAACTGAAAAACAAGAAAAACGAGTAACTGAAACATCGAGAAGATGAAATTTCTAAAATTTAAAAAATCGAAAAATTATAACATTGAAAAATTGTACAATCGAAAAATTGAGAACACGAAATATGAAAAATCCAAAAATTGGAAAATCCCAAAAGTGAATAATCGAAAACTTGAGAAATAAAAAAATTAAATAGTCGAAATCAGAAATTGGAAAGACAAAAAATGTAAAAATCCGTTAATCGTAAAATTAAGGAATCGAAAAATCGAAAATTTAGGAACGTTAAAAACTTAAAAATTGAAAAACTGAAAAATCGAAAAATTTGAAAACTGAAAAATTGAAAACTCGAAAAATCTAAAGGCGTGAAATCGAAATCGAAAGATCGAGAAATCGAAACATTAAAAAAGTGAAAAACCTAATACTTAAAAATTTGAAAAACTGAAAAACAGGAAAAACGAATAACTGAAAAATCGAGAAGATGAAATTTTTAAAATTTAAAAAATTGAAAAATTATAACATTGAAAAATTGTACAATCGAAAAATTGAGAAAACGAAATATTAAAAATCCCAAAATTGAAAAATCGCAAAAGTGAAAAATCGATAACTTGAGAAATCGAAAAATTAAATAATCGAAATCAGAAATTGGATAGTCAAAAAATTTAAAAATCCGTTAATCGTAAAATTGAGGAATCAAAAAATCGAAAATTTAGAAACGTTAAAAATTTACAAATCGAAAAACTGAAAAATCGAAAAACTGAAAAATCGGAAAATTTAAAAACCGAAAAAGTGAAAAATCGAGAAATCAAAGAATCAAAAACCGAAAAACTGTAAAACCAAAAAACCTAAAATTTAAAAAAAGGAACATTGTGAAAAATCGAAAAAATAAAAATCAAAAAGTCGAAAAATCGAAAAATCGAAATTGGAAATCGGAAAGTTAAAAATCTAAAAGTCGAAAAATCGAGAAATCGAAAAGTCTAAAAATAAAAAAATTATTTAATCGTAAAATTGAGATATTGAAAAATCGAAAATTCAGAAATACCAAAAATTGAAAAACTGAAAAGTCGAAAAATTGGGGAATCGAAATATTGGAGAAAAGATAAACTGAAATTTCGCAAAATTGAGAAATCGACTAATAAAAAAATCCAGAAATCGGGAAATTGTCGGTTTTTTTTCCAAAAATCTAGATGTTTAAATTCATAAACCACAACTTCAAGGCTCTGTTACATTTTAACACATAAATAACATTCGATTTTGTAATTTCAATTTTAAATTGTAAAATGTTATAGAATTTTGTTTATTTTCCAAAAATCTAGATGCCTGTGGTAAAAATTCGACACGGATTTATAAACCACAATTGGAGGAGTACGTTATTTTACAGACAGACAGACGGACATAACGGAAGATCTATTTTTTAAACCCTAGGGTCATGAAACGTCGAAAAAACATGAAAACTGACCTGATTTGACCTGACCTATTCTAATCTTACACCCAGCACGTTACTTTTGCATCTACAGTTTCTTATTTTTAGATTTTAATTATTTTATTATTATTATTATTACAATTATTATTACACTTTAATGTCGAACGATTTACCTTCTAGTCTATTGACATAGTCACTATTAAACATCACCGATTTTTTTAACCATGGGGCTCCTCAGAGACCTAGTTCAAACCTCCCCTATTCCCCCGTTTCGCCAACGATCTGCTCACCACTCTTTCTTGTTTCAGGCGAAAAACCCTTCAAGTGCGAGTACGAGGGCTGCGACCGGCGCTTCGCCAACTCCTCGGACCGGAAGAAGCACTCGCACGTGCACACCTCCGACAAGCCCTACAACTGCCGCGTCTCCGGCTGCGACAAATCCTACACCCACCCGTCGTCGCTGCGGAAGCACATGAAGGTGCACGGCTGCACGGGCCGGTCGCCGCCCCACTACGACAGCGACGGCGAAGAGTCCAACTCCTCCTCGGCCGGGAGCATCTCCGTGGCCGCTAGTCCCCAGGTCCCCGGGCCCCAGCTGCCCGGCAGCACGGCGCTGAGCGAGTGGTACGTGGCGTGCCAGCCGCCGCCCCCGGTCACGCCCGACCCCCTGGGCGGGCTGGGACACTTCGGAAATCTGCACCACAGTGGCGCCGCCACTGCCTATTGATAGTGATAATGTGGATAGTTGTTGAGTTTGTACATAGTTTATACGATGGCGGGGCTCCCGGGTGGAAGGGGGATGACGAATTTAGAAGTGGGATTAAGGGGGATTTACAAATACAAGAAAAATAGTTTCGAGTTTCATTTAGATATACAGCTGATTTTCATATACATACCTACATAATTATATATGTAAATAAATGAATAAAAAAAAATAAAAATCAACTAAAAAATAAAGAGAGGTTTTTGTTTTTGTCTGAAACGGCTGTGATCTCGATTTTTGTATCTACAGTTGCCTGTAAAGTGACACTAATATTTATTAAAATAAGAAAAAACATTGTGTCATGTACAGGGGTGTTTTTAAGTAGAGGGCTAAATTGTTATTTTTTTTGTTCGAGTTGTATGTACAGCTGTTTATAAAGGCAGCAATTTTTCTCGTATTTATTAGTATATATAAGTACTTTCTTTGTAAATTTGGAAAAACAAATATGACTTCATTTGTAAAAATTTGATGGGGTTTCCTATATACAGCCGGTCATTAAGCGGCGATTTTAAAGATCCAGAAATACAAAATTAATAATTTGAAATTTACGAAAGGTGTCATCTGGGGGCTCCGTTCCAGATATTTTTAAATTTGACTGTGAATATAATTTAATGTTTTATGGTTCCCGTGCAATTATTGACATGCATTTGCTAATTTATATACTTCTAATTTTTGTATGATGAGTTCCGTCTAATGTAAGTTAAGATAAGCGTATTTGTATATTTGTATAAATTTTATTATGATATTTAATTGTAGGACCAGTGTATAAAGAAATTTATTGTAAATATATCTTATCAGGGATCTCTGTATATCTAAAGTTTATTATAACTTGAATTATTGAAAATAAATTTGACTGATGATGTATATAAACAGGCTTTTTATTTAAACTGGGGTACGAAATATTTAGGTGTTTGAGCGTTGAGATAAAATACACATAACTGGGTTTTTGTGCTAAACAACTGAAAAAACTGGTCGAAAGATATGTCGACAGAACTTCCCTCGCCCTGTAGCGAAGCAAAACAAGTCACGTTTCTGTGAAAAATTATCAAAATTTTTTGCAATTTTTGTTTTCTGATAACCTTTTTTGATTTGAATTTATCCGTTATTCAATTTTAATTTTTCAATTTCTCGATAGTTAATTTCCCAGTTTTCAATCTTTCAGTTTTTCGTCTTTATAATTTTGACGATTATCTAATTCTTTGATTTTAAAATTTTTGGATTTTCCAAATTTTCGGTTCGATTTGTTTTTTCTTTGTAGTTTTTCGCTTTATTAATTTTTTTCAATTTTTAAATTTCTTCGGTGCTACGATTTACAATTTTTCGATTTTTCACTTTTTCAATTTTTCAATTTTCCTAATAAAAAAATGGAAAAGTTGCAAAATCGTAAAAATGATAAATAAAAAATGAAAAAACCCAAGCATATGACAAGCAAATATTAAAAAATCCAAAAATTGGAAATTAGGAACTTGAAAAATGAAAGAAATGAAAGATTGGAAAGTCGAAAGAATAAAAATTGATAAAATTAAAAATCTAAAAAGTGCAAAATGGAAAAAATTGGTCGAAAGTTGTTCCCACAGAACTTCCCTCGTACCTGAAGTGCGGCACAAAAATCCAGCTTTTTGAAAAAATCTAAAAAATGTTTGCGATTTTTGTTTTCTGATAACCTTTTTTGACTTGAGTGTATCCGTTCTTCAATTTTTCATTTTTTCTTTAGTTTTTGGGGTTTTTATAATTTTTGATTTTTTCGATTTCAAGTTTTTCAATATTTCCTTTCTTCAATTTTTCATTTTTTTTGTTTCCTCAATTTTACGACATGCAACTCTTCGAGTTTTGAGCTTTTGTTTTAAATTTTTAATTTCTTCATGTACCAATTTTTGAAAGTTTAAATTTTTAGATTTTGCAAATTTTTGATTTGCAATTTCACGAGTTTTCTATTTTTAATTTTTCAATTTTTCGATTTTCCAATTCTTCCAATTTCGATTTCAGTTTTAGATTTAGGTTTTTATTTTCTTTATTGTTTCAATATTTCGATGTAATTTTTCTTTTTTCATTGTGAAATTTTACAGTTTGTAGATTTTTCAGTTTTCGTTTCTTCAGTTTTTGATTTGCAATTTTTCTATTTTTCATAATAATTATAATTTTTAAAATCTAACACAATTTTACATTTTTTTCATTTTTCTCTTACGGAATTTTAAAACTTTTTGATTTATTCGACTATAATTTTTCAATTTGTCGATACTTCATTTTTCAATTTTTCAATCTGTCAGTGTTACACTTTTCTATTTTTACAATTTTAACAATTCTCTAATTTTTTGAATTTTTCAAATTTTCGATTCGATTCGTTTTTTCTTCTTTACAATTTTTCGCTTCATTAATTTTTTTTCGATTTTTCACTTTTTAGATTTTGCAATTTTTGTTTTTTTGGTTTTTTAATTTTTCAACTTTTCGAATAAAAAAATGGAAAAATTGCAAAATTGTAAGAGTGATAAATAAAAAATGAAAAAATATAACAAGCAAACATCAAAAATTCAAAAATTTGAAATTAAGAACTTGAAAAATAAAAGAAACGAAAAATTTAAATATTGAAAGAATAAAAATTGATAAAATTAAAAATCGAAAAAGCGCAAAATAAAAAAAGTGGTCGAAAGTTATTTCGACAGAACTTCCCTCACCCCTGAAGGGCAGCCCAAAAAAATCCGTTTCTTTGAAAAATTATTAAAATAATTTTTGCGATTTTTGTTTTGTTATAACCTTTTCTGATTTGAATTCATTGGTTCTTCAATTTTTCATTTTTTTCTATTTTTTCAGTTTTCCAACTTTTAAATTCTTCAATTTTTAGATTTTGTAGTTTTGCGATTTGAGTTTCCCGAGTTTTTAATTTTTAACTCTTCAATTTTTCGTTTCGGTTTTTTGTTTTCTTTTTTTGTCAATTATTCGAATTTTCTATGTTTCGATTTTATAATTTTTTTATTTTTTCAATTTTTCATTTTTTCGTTTTTTCAATTTTTAGATTTTACAATTTTTCGATTTTTAATTTTTCATTTCTTTAGAATTTCGATCTGCATTTTTTGTTTCGTTTTTTCATTTTCTTTATTCTTACAATTTTTCGAGTTTTCAATCTTCCGGTTTTATACTTTTTTATTTTTTTGATTTCAATTTTTTAAATATACCCTTTTTTCATTTTTTTATTGGTTTCATTTTATGACATGCAACTTTTCGAGTTTTGAGTTTTTATTTTAAATTTTTAGTTTTTTGATTTTTCAACTTTTGTATGTTTAAATTTTTAGATTTTGCAGTTTTCCGCTTCGGTTTTTTTTTCTTTATTTTTTTCAATTTTTGAGTTTTTCGATGTTCTGATTTTATAATTTTTCTTTTTTCAATGTGAAGTTTTACAATTTTTCGGTTTTTAATTTTTCGTTTTTCTAGTTGTAGATTTTGCAGCTTCTCAACTTTTCAGTTTTTCGTTTCTTCGTTTTTGATTCGCAATTTTTCTAGTTTTCAAAATAATTAGCAGTATAATTTTTACAATTTAACACAATTTTACAATTTTCCATTTTTTCCATTTTTTGCTTACTGGATTTTAAAACGTTTTCATTTACTCGATTTTTAATTCTCATAATTCAAACTTTTTAATTTTTCACTTTCTCGATACTTCATTTTTCAATTTTTTAATCCTTAATGTTACAGTTTTTCGATTTCACAATTCGGATGGTTCTCTAATTTTTTGATTTTAAAATTTTTAGATTTTGCAATTTTTCAATTCGATTCCTTTTTTCTTCTTTCCAATTTTTCCCTTCAATAATTTTTGTCGGTTTTTAAGTTTAACAATTTTTAGTTTTTCACTCTTTCAATATTTCGTCTCTTCAGTCCTTCGATTTACATTTTTTCCCTTTTCCACTTTTTCTATTTTGCACTTCGTCTTTTCATTCTTTCGATTTTTCAACTTTTTGAATAAAAAAATGGAATAATTGCAAAATTGTAAAACTGAAAAATAAAAAGTGAAAAAAATTAAAAAGTGTAACATGCAGATATTGAAAAACCTAAAAATTAGAAATCAAGAACTTGATAAATGAAAGAAGTGAACAATTGAAAAATCGTCGACAAAAAATTGATAAACTTAAAAATCGAAAAAGTGCAAAATGGAAAGAATTGGTCGAAAATTGTTTCGAAAGAACTTCTCTTGTCCGCGAAGCGCAGCCCAAAAATCCTGTTTCTTTGAAAAAACATAAAAAAATTTTGCGGGTTTTATTTTCTGACAGCCTTTTTTGGTTTGAATTAATCCGTTCTACAGTTTTTCCAACTTTTGAATTCTTCAATTTTTAGATTTTGTAATTTTTCGATTTGAGTTTCTCCAGTTTTTAATTTTTAATTTTTCAATTTTTCGATTTGCAATTTTTCGTTTTGTTTTTTTTTTCAATTTTTGGATTTTTCGATCCTCTGATTTTATAATTTTTCTTTATTTCAATTTGAAATTTTACAATTTTTGGATTTTTCAATTTTTCGATTTGCAATTTTTCGGTTTTTAATTTTGCGTTTTTCCGCTTGTAGATTTTTCAATTTCTCGATTTCGTGCAAAATCGACAAAACTGGAAAATTAAAAAATTTAAAAACCGAGGAATTGAAAAATCACAGTCAGAAAATTTGAAAAATTGAATAAACGAAAAAGTAGAAAATGAAAAAACCAAAAATTGCAAAGCGAAAAGTCCGAAAAATTGAAAAATTTGGAAACAGAGAAATTGAAAAATTATGATATCAAAAATTTGGTCGAGCCTAAAAATCCAGATTTTTCGAAAAATTAAATGTTTGGATTTTGCGAAAATTATTTTTTTTTATTATATCCCTTCTAAGTTAAAATAAAAATATCTATGTAATGTTAAGGTAAATGTAAAGCTTACGCTCAAGAAGTTAAAAGAAATAAACAAATAATGCTACTGATGACTTTCAAAAAAACAAAAATCGTTTCATACCACAAAAATTCCACCTCATCTTTCTTGTGTTTCCGTTTCGGATTAAGAGTCGGATGTTTACGTAAAGGTGTAATAAATACCTCAATCATTTATTTACTCTTCTAAATTTAAATATTATTCGCAATAAATGCGCCGAGGTCAAGGTGATCACCAGAAGCTCCGTTCCAGATATTTTTAAATCTCTGTGAATATAATTTAGTGTTTAATGAAGTCATCTGCCACTATTGCTCCCCAATTTTTACATTTTCCAATTCAGTCTGGTCCAAAGCGTCTAAAATTTATCGCGCATTTAGTTATGGGACGCCTATATAAAGAAATTTATCGTTAATACTCCTATATTTTATAAGGTATCTCTGTATATATAAGGTTTATTATAGCCCGAATTTATTGAAAATAAATTTGACTGATGATGTATATAAATATGATTTTTATTTAAACCGAGTTTACGAAAAATTTATGGGCTCTCGTCCGCAGGCAAAATATACAGCGTCGTAAAACTGAAGTGTAAGCACGTAATTGAGTAAAGTATTTATGGCAAAAAATGTGAGTTAATGAATTTTGATAAATACGGGTAATCATGTTTCGCGCATAAAAATGTAGCATCAGGTTTGTTCAAACAGCAGTGCTGATTTTGAAATAAATTAACGAAATGCTGAACTGAGATGACGTCATAAACTTTATGGAGGAAATGGATAAATAAATTTAACTTACTGTGATAAATTATACAATTTGACGATCCAAACTTTTTAACAAACTTTTCACGTAATTTTAAAAATAGGAATCTATTGTTAAACCAAAGGTAAATGTTATTCCACAATTTAGAGTAGG